GAAATCGATGGTGATGTCCTGGCCCCACATAGATGTACTGCTTAAACTGCTCCAGCACCACCTGCACCTCGGCTCAGAGTGGGCCTCGAGCGGCCTCTGCTTCGTCGGGGGGCCTGACCCAAACTCAGCGCCAGCGGGGCGGTCCATTCGCGCAAGGCTCTGGGATCAATCTCCAACCAGCGTTCCCGCCTTCATGGCCTGTTCGCACGGCCCACCAGGAAGCAGACACAGCGATAGCAAAGGCCAATGGTGTATTCGGCTTCCTCCTGAACCACATCTGGCCTTGGTGGAAGACGGGTTCCCATTCTTGAGGCGAATGAACGCGACGGCATTTCGCTGGAGGCCGGTTGCTGATCTCATCGATGTTGTGTTTGAGCAGCTGGCGCTTACAGCGAGCGCCTGACATGCAACAAGCATCGTACTCGGGCTCACGGAACAGCCCTGAGGCTTTCATACGCTTCTCTTGCGGGAGGTGCCAGCTGTTGGCCGGATTCTCACGGACGGTCCCTCCGCCTCCCTGCACCATAAGCTGCATTTGGTCCAAATTGTCTTGCAAGACCCGCTGCTGGTCGGCGAGCGAGGCCTGGCAAACCTTCCGGACGCTGTTCGCTGCGCAGGGGCTTCGGCAACGGCCCTCCATCCGGCGCCTGGCGCGTGATCTCTCTGGCTCTGCGATTAGTCGAACAATCCATCGTTACTACAAGACAGCACGGATCTTCGAGTTGTAGCGCAATGTTCTCCTGACAGGCGACCTTAGACAGATCATGTTCAGCGCCGAACAGCCAGTCACAAGAAAGCCTTCGACACAGGGCAGTTGGGACCCGCCATGAGATCCCACTGAGCGGGGATTGCGGGGTAGAGTTCGACTCCTCTTCACCCCTAGATCAGGCGCTACCCTCACCCTCCCAGAACAACTTCAAGCCTTGGACCCTGCTTGCAGTCTTTCGCCCCGTGTCCTGGTGACTATCAGGGTCTTCTTTGTCACCACGGCACAGCGGTGGGCACTTCTCGGGCAACTCCCTGGCAACCAACGGCGGGGGGTCACTCCCCCCGCACACTGTGGCTGCAACTGCCCAACACGCGTCTCTAGCCTGCATCACTTGCTGAATCACCACCCCCAAGAACAGATTGACCCATTCACTGCGCTCATCGGTGTCACGCACCTGGAGCCATGCGAGACTGCTTGGCCCGGACCGCGCTGAAAACCCCTTGGCCCTGAACCAGTAGGCCATGACTGTGTCAAGGGGCACCTCCACATACTCTCTGGATTTTTTTTGGGCGCCCCTTTTACCCGCTAGCTGCTGGTAAAGTCCGACATGGGACGGGCGGTGCTTGCAGAATACTCGGCACCCCCCCGTGGAAAATCACTCCTCAAGAGACCCTTTGGGCTGTTGCGGTAACCCTTCCTCCACAGCTTGTCCTTCCAGGAACAGCTTCTGGGCTTCAAAGGCTTCCAACACTTGGCTACCAAACCTCTTCACAACTGCAGCTGAGGAAAGCGCATTAAGGGACCATTGATTGTACGCATGGATCCCTGGCAAACTTCCCAAAACCTCAGGTACATCTACATCGGTCTGTACATGGTAGTCTTCAGTACTCTCTGGAATTGGAGCCCAGGGTTTTCTTTTGGATGGATCCGCAACTCCTGCAAGCGGGCTCGATCCAACCAACACGTACGCCAACATGAGCGTAGGAAGCTTGTCCAAATACGTCTCCGCATCTTTGGACACATGCTCCTCGGTCTCCATCTCTGCGGTACACAGGCTCTCTCTACTTTTTCTGGAAAATGGTGAGTTGGAACTGCAAGTTCTTGACTTTCCATATGTTGAACACACGCAACATACGCTTGGCCAACTCCCTGGAAACTCTGGAGACTACCATGTCACTGGGGTGTACTTCTGCTGGGAATCGCAGCTTGCACTGCTGTTAGAAAGCTGTCTTCACGTCACGGAGCTCACTGTCCCCGAGCATAGAGTCCGCCAAGGCCACCTTCGACCTATCCTGCTCAGCCTGCTGGAAGTACAGCCTGACTGCGGACCAGGCCCTCGCATCCTGGCTGTCTGCAACACGTCTCCCAGCCCAAGCTCATTCACCCAGCGACCGACATGCTCTTCATTATCGAAAAACAATCGCAACTCTTCCAGGTCCTGGAGGCCTTCGTTGAGCTTGTTGACGACATCCTGACGCAGGTTGAAATTCAGGGCTAACGTATCCAACGCTGCCGCAATGTGAATCTGGTCACGGGGGACCAAGTTGAGTGACATGTCACCAACAGAGTCACTCTCTGAGGTACACGCTTTCCTCCAAAACTCTGCCCTCGCCGAGGTCACTCCCCGGATGGCACCTATGAGCTAAGTGGCTGCAACATGCACTCACGACTCACGATCACAGAAACAACACTTGCACAAGCTCACAGACACATCAGCTGCGTAGTGCAAGGACACCCTGACCAGCGCAAGACGCAAAGCACCTAAGCAGCGGAGAGTTTTTTTGCAAGCTCGAACATCCTTACAGCCAGAAAGATGCCGTCCCGGTCACGTACGGGGTACGAAGACGCTTCGCCTTAGGGCCAGACTGCTTGTGTGTACACAGTGTGATCTGGCCCTCGACCGCCAAGCACAGATGGGACGAGCTTGTGGCAACATACTGCCTTGGCAGCACGCAAGCGGCGGCAAGGCTGCTCCATAGGCCACCGTCTTCTGGGCCCACTGCCTCAAGGCCTAGTTCTGCCGCCACAGCTTGTACGCCTCCACTGGCCGTACTCTAGCGAGCTCGGCTCCCGCTCCACGGCGCCTGCCTGCCACGCAGTGCACCAAAATGCTTTCCCCTGCTCAAAGGCTCGGCCCTGCTGGAGAACTCTCCGCAGATTGTCGAACTGCTGGTCGCGAACCCTTCGCCCTTCACCAACTTGAGGACGGCTCCAGGCAAAGTTATCCCGCCCCGATCTGCTGGTCCACGGCAGCTCACCTGCGTAGAAACCTGCGAGAACGTTGTCCTTGGTGGCAGCCGTCGATAGCGAGCCCAAGAAAATACGCCCTCCACTTTCTTACACCAGAGCATTTGGTCACGAACGCTCATCTCGGCCACGAACCTCATCTCCTCGATGCTCTGACAGGGCCAGCGCTCGTACACCCCCTCCAAGTCACTCCCAGCAGCTGCAGGGCTGCTCCCTGCTAACCCCGGTGTCTCCCGCGCTTCGGGCCTGGCCTTTGCCGGTGGCTTCGGCGCTGCGCACTCTTTGCTGCCAGGCCTTTTGCCTTAGCCTTATTGGGTTGTCTCTCCGGCTCATCAGGAGAAATGGGCCCGTTTGCGCTCCAAGGTGGTTGCGCTGAATCGGCGCTGAAGGTGAACCCGCCGGCGCCAAAGTTGGCAGCATGGCGGCCTCCACAGACCCTGCCTAACTTGAGGACCGTCGCGCAGAGGTGCGCAAGAATGCACGCCTGATTCCGGCACTTCGAAGGTTGCCACGCGGGACACAGAGCCATGCAGTTCCGCAGCGTGCCGGCCGTCACTCGGCCAGGGGCCATTCACACCGGCCCTCGGCCCGGCCGCGCAACAGCTGAAATTTGCGCAGATCCGCGACTGTTCTGATGAGCGTGGCCCCCTGCCTTAGGTGCTTTTCTGCTCGCAAGCAAGCGGATAAAATTCTTCCACTCACCGACCTGCGGTGCTGCCGGTTCCTTAGGTTTACGCGCAGCAGTCACTTCAAAGGACTCAGCGAGCGATTTGGCAAGGTCCCCTTGCTCTGTGGCTTCCGTCTGTTTGGGCCTCTGCGGCTTGGCCTTATGAAAGAGCTTTGCAGGCTTCAGCAGCCGAATGACGGGAGGTCGCTCCTCCCTGCTGGCTGACGCCGCCGCTGCCTGTGCCTCATCGACTGCCCGAAGTAGGACCGAGCCATCGATGTCTGCAACCGTCTCCATCCAAGCATCGGCCACCGCTGCCCCCCTGCCGCCATGGCCACCAAATCTTCCCCGCGATGTTCATGGTAATGGCGCCAAGCCTCGGCGACGCTGTGGCCTTCAGGCACAAATGCGGACGCGCTTGTAAAGCGGCTCACATAATGGAAGCGAAGCCCTCCGCAAAGCTGCTTGCAACGCTGGCAAGGAATCTGGGTACAGGGAGCGACCTGAACAGCGGGCAGAATGCCTGGTAACGCGGGTTCCCTGCCCATGGTCGGAGGATTATGCTGGATTTCCACAACCGAGGCCCACAACCCCAGGGCTGAGGCCTTGGCTCCACGTCGCCACCGGCTGCGGCCCTCTGTGGCAGACTCCTGGTAAGTTGCCGAAGAGAAGACCTTCTCCTCTGTATGATAAGCAGCCCACTCAGCAAAGACATGCTCCATACACTACAGAGGGTCACTCCCTCCCGAAAGCACGCAAGGATTCCTTCCTTGCACAATCAATCAGCAAGGGTGCACCTTGCAAACACCTTACACAGGTATAACACAGGTCGGCTCCCGCAAGATTAGTTGCAGGTCGACTCCTGCCCAGCTCAATCAAAGCGGCTGCCAGTTTGGCCCACAGCCCAGCTTGGACGCAAAATGGCAGCAGCATGAACCTTTGGGAATGATTTGCATGCACCCAAGCATGCCAAGCCCAATATGCTAACATGCAACGGAGAACCCACGGAACCCTGACCCCAAATGGTCCATGGCAGGCTAGGTCAGAGCATGAGACCTCGGGTTTTTGTCGTTCTGTTCCATTTGTGCCACATCTTCTGCTTCAGAGAATATTTAGGAGCCTGCCCATTCTTGGTTGTGAGTGGCAGCCTATGCAATAACCACTTCACCAAGTCCTGATGCAAGGCAAGAGTCACTGTCTTTGGATTGCTGCCATCCAAGCTTTGTGTTTTTTCCGCATTCGTCACTCTCACACGGTCATGAGGTGAGAACGTTGGCAGCCTGAATCTGCATCGACGCAGAAGCTCGGGAGCCTTTGTGCCAAGGCGAACGTGTACTTTGAGCTTACCTTACTTCTGCAAACCTGCCAAGGCGTTCACTACAGCGGGCCCACACCACTCTTGGCTGGAGCGGGGGGGTTCATTCCACCCGGACCCATCCTTAGCAACCAGAAGCAGGCAGGCAACATGAAACAACAGACTCTAACAACGAGCATGGGACGGATGGGAGGTGACAGCCGCAAGGCTGCCCTGCACCCTGTCCCGGAGTGCTCCCAAGTCACGTGGGCGCCAAGTTGGCTGCATGATGTTACTCGTATCCGGAACAGGTCTGCAAGCCCACGCCTTCTGATACGGCTCATCAGAAGCGCAGATGCGTTCAGCCCTCTGAGCGGACCCTCGCCAATAACCTCGGGGACAAGCTATTCTAGGGATTGTTTTGCTTGAGGATGCTCCAGGCACACGACCTGGCGCTGCGCATCAGGAGGCAAACCTCGCAAAGCACCTTCCGCAGAAGCCTGAAACAGCAGCGGCAGCTTTCTCATCTGCGCTACAGGTGAAGGATCTAAGGGCACAGCGTCTACTCCGTATTGAGCAATGAAAGCCGACACCAAATCCCTGCAGGGATCATTCGCCAACTTACAATGAGACAGCGAGTGCGACAGCATGAAAACGATTCAGCAAAATTGCAAGCGTGCTGGGACCGTGTCACTCACATGCTCTGCGTTTCCACGCAGGCCCAGTGTGCAGGCACGTCAGAGTTTGAAAATGCAGCACCCACTCTGATGCGCAACGCTTTTTCTCTTCTGAAGCTTGGCAAGGAAAAGGATGACAGGAGCACTTCGGCCGAGTGCCTACAACGTAGCCACAGCCCGGTCATTAACCTCAGCATGGCTTCTGGCAGAAGCAAACTTTGGTGCATGTCGTCACTCGTCTAATTTCGCTTCCGTCTCGGGGTCTTTCTGCTCATAGTGCGGCTCACCAGCCTGCAGGAAGCATCGGCTGGAAGACGGTCTGGTGTGATACTGTAAATGTGTGCCGTTGCTCCGAGGCTGGGCCCACAGATGAACTTGCAGGTGTGAAAGTCATAAACTTGTCAAGCCTGCACTGCAATGTCCTTCCTCTGCACATCTGTCTCCAATGTCATCGCTGAGAGCCGGTTCGTCACAAAGCACATGCCCTTTTCTGCTAACCTCATCTTCAGTGAATCTTCATGCCACATGCAGCAATGCTCCACGCACGCCCAAACTGAGTCAGCAGCTCTGGTCGTTTCATCCATAATGCCTTGCTACATGGTTTGCGGCGGGTGACGCGACTTGGAGCGACCAGGGATGCCCCCACCCCCTTTGTGCGGGCGCGTTGCGATAGAGGCCGCTATGAATGTGAGGATTCCCCAGCACGACAGAGTTACGAACCAGCTGCGTTGCTCATTGCCATTTTCGTGGTTCTCACCTCTGGTAACTTGGCCTCAGTTGTGCATGTCTATGTCAGCCACTCAACACGTTTTGGGCACGCGGTTCCCGATAAAAATGGAAGCGCTAGGTGAGGCATTCATACCATGACTGCGAAGCTAAACGTGCTTTCCGCCATTGACTGCAAGCCACATGCTGCTGAGAGCACTCTCTATTTCTCTCTCACGCGACTTCCGAGTGCTCTGCCAGCCAAATTCGCATTGGAGCGGTCCGGCGCTGAAACATTCGAGGCTTGCAGCGGCGAGGACCTAAGCTGCAGTACATGGATGGCGAAGGCATGGGTTTCAACAACGACAGCACAACTTGGCTTACTTCTCAACAAGCTTTGTGGAGCTGCATTCTGCCTGCTTCTCTTGTGGCCCAATCGCTGTTGTAGCTCATCTCTGTGCAGCTCGCTCTGTGCTGCAGCCCTAGTTCGCCCACTCCACAGTCTTAGCTAAGCAGCTCAGCAGACTCTGCTTGCGCTGACTCGGGGGCTGCTTCTGAGGGCGCCTGCACCTGAGACCCAGTGAGGAGTGGCAGCTTCCGCAACAAATGGAGCAACCAAAATGCATGCAAGCATATGCGAGCACAGGCACATATCTCGGGTGACGCGGGTGCCGGTCTTGTGCATCAGCCTGCGCCACGCTCTCTGAAAAATTTCTCCCGTTGAGAAAGCTCGACTCCATTGCAACCGGGGCAACGGTCTTGGAGCGGCGAGGTTGCCGGTCTTGTGGCTCGGCCTATTCCAGAACCAAAGTGGAAGAGCACGACTTCGCTGTATGTACTTCCGCATCGCGAAAAACGGACGCGGCCCGATCTAAAATGGATTTCAGACATGAAGTGGCAGGTTCTACCTCGCAATTCTGGTGAAGCCTCCTGTCCATCCTCAGAGCGCACTTCTTGAGTATCTTCCCGGGTGGCGCCCTCGTCGGCTTCTACATCGTCGCCCTGCCCATCTGCACTATTGTCCTGCCAGTCGCGCAAAAAAAGCCTTTGCAAGAAAGCTTGAGAACAATGGATGCAGTGGGTTGCTGGTAGCAACAGCTTTTCGGCTAGTCCTCAACTCTTGTATCTTCATCGCTACCCTCCTCTGGTTCATCCTCCTCAGAGTACTTCCTTGCTGCATGATGCCTTCTGTGCGCCGCATGGTGCACCTCAAGAGCAGGATTCAACATCTTTTCATATTTGCTCGAGGGGCGATGTGCCAACGTGAACTGAGAAGCATAATCTCATAGTCTATGACTGAAAAGGCTTGCTCACATTTGCCTGCCTGAGGTGCCGCGTGATGCCTCAGACCAATGCAATGCAGTGACAACAGTGCGGCCAACAAAGAAAAGCTCAAGTCCATGAGTTGCCACGCCGCCTGCCCTTCCCGCTGCGTGCACCTGGCGACTCTTGAGGGTTTCAAATGCTTGTTTCCCCGTGCTGTGCAACTGAGAATAGGACCTGATGACTTGCCTGCCTTGTGTGGATCAACTGGCTTAGCAGCAATATCCTTCACAGTACCCACCATCTATGTGGACTCTGTGGCCCAGGCCCGCTGCTGCAGCTCCATGAACGCTTCTGGGGCATGGCCAATAGCCTCACTGGGCTGGCAAACGCAGAAAGCAACGATTCCAGCAAATTGTGCTTGCACTTTGAACCGCTCTATTCGGCATGCTCGTCGTGACTTCAGCCACATCAGGAATGGCACTGGCCGTAGTTGCGGCAGTCGCGGTATGTGCAGGCTTGGTAGTTGGAGTGGTCTCTCTGCTGCAGGCGGAGTCGCCCTTCATGGTTGGTCATTCTGCATCGCCCAGTGTATCCTGCTTTGGTATCCTGCTTTGCCGCTGTGTGCGTGGACTTGTCGGGCTCCTCTAAGATGACCGATTAGTACCAATTAGGGCCCCGTCAGCAGAAGGAGCCTTCCAGGAAGCTCGCCGCTGACATGTCTTCTCTCACGCAAATAATCCATGACCACGTCTCGGAAGAGTTGGTGGTGCGTGTGAACACGCTCGCATTTGCAAAATGTCTGAATGCCATCAGCTGGGACTTCGCTGAACAAGCGGTTGATTGCCACCAAGTACTCCTTTTCTGGATCAACCTTGTCACCATCCACTTCGAGTCCTAGCTAGCAACTGAGACAGGGGGAGTTGTGTTGTGCAACAGCTGGCGCTCCTCGAACTCTTGCAAAAGGTTGAGCGCGCAAATCACATCTCACGCTCACGCCTCAGACAGCATGCAGCGTCCCTCCTACGCAAGTGTTCGGAAGAACCCTTGGCCAAGCTGCCATCCGACAGGTGAGGGAAACAGCCAACAGGAGTTGGAGCTGATGCCAGCATCTCCTGCAAATTTGACAGTTTCTAGAACAGCAAGCTGGAGCAACACGAGGAGAGCGTCCTCCAAGACGTATTGCAGGCTATCGCCTTTTATGCGCACCATGGCTGGGCACTCTGCGAATGGCAACTCCTCACTCACCTCCGCATGGTGCTCTGGACACGATGCCCTAGACCCTAGATGACACTCTGTAATCGATTCTCATGCCTGCTGCGCTGTCAGGACCGAGTGTGCGGCGTAAACTCTGTCCTGGCTCAACTGGCATCTTCCCTTTCAAGCAGAATGCCATTCCTCAAAAGCACTGTCCTGCCGGATGAAACCTCCATTGATTATGGCCAGGTTGCATCCATGTGGGCGGCAGGCCCAGAGAGCTGCATCCGCAACCAGGCAGCCGAAGGCGTTTTCTCTTGAGCGGAGCTCAGATGTTCGACTTGACAGCGTGGATCCCAAAGTGCACAATCCTTCCTCCACATGCTTTGAGGCTGGAGCAAAAAGGGGCCATCATACAAAATGGCAGCAGAAAAACTGCAAAATTGAAACTCTTCCAGAACATTGGATCCAAGGTCTTCACCATTGGTGCTCGTTTTCCTCCACCTAGCAACAGCTCTTGCCACGATAGGGTCCTCTCTAACGTCCCAGGTGCTGCGGAAATGAAAGGAATGCTCGAAGGAATGCTTGACGGCAAGGCTGCCAGCCCCATGTTGCTGCAAGTACAAATCCAGAACACCAACATATTCCTGACACCCAGCAGGCTGCAGAAATACACAAGACAGACGAAAAGACCAACGCCCTCAATGCAACTCTTGCTTCACCTGCTACACAAAGCATACTCACTCGGGGAAGTGACAGCGTTCTGGCCGCATTTGATGATCAACACGCCGCGATGGGTTAGGTAGTATGGGTCATGGTCATGACCACCCAGGATGATGTGGATGCCACTGCACGACTCAGCCAGCTGCTTGTCCTGACTTCCAAACGACGTTGTATAAGATTGCTGGTCTGTCAGCTGGCTAACAGGCATTTCAGTCCTGGGGAAGGCTCAGGTGCGTCAAGGCAAAAACAATTTTACACCCACGGTCTTGAAGAACTTGCACACACCTGTCAGTCAACACTCTGGCTCAAGTCATCATTTGCCTGGACATTGTCTGCCTAGCACACATTTTTCTGGCCTCCTTGCGTGCAGGATTGGATCCTCGAAGCTAATATTCTTGCCGGGATCTGAAAGCTGAGGCGTGGAGGCAGTGCATAAGCCAAACATGCCCACCCGGATAGGCCCATGAGAGGAGGGTATGCAAAAGGTATCTAAATCAAGAGCTGTGTGGAAGATGGACTGCGACTTGCGATCCCGCACGTTTGATCCAAGCCATGGAAACTGGGACATGTCCATCAGCTCACGAAGCCGAGCCTCCCCATAGTCAAACTCGTGATTACCCAGAACGCAGTAGTCAACTCCAAGCGAGTTCAAGACATCAACGCTGGACTCTCCTAAATGCTCGCTGGCATATAGAGAGCCGCCCAGTACATCCCCTGGCACTACGAGTTTGGTGGGTGGACCAGCAGCTGCTCGTGCAACAGTCCGCACCACGGCGAGTCGTTCGGGCTTATAGATGTCATTCACGCTTAGGACGCGCAGGTCAGGACTCCGCGTAGCTGGCTCAAGCTCAAACCATGTACGGAAGCAGCCAACGAAGCACTGCATCTTCACAACATGCTACGAAGCTTGGCAAGCAGCGTCTGCGAGACTCGAGCCAGCAAGGTTGCAGCGGCAGAAGCCCCACACAAGTCAAGCTTCCAAACAGTGTTCCTTGTGCAGGGGTGCCTTTCGCATTACAAATTTAGGTCTGCAGCTGAGATCCTTACTCTGGTCTCTAGCCGATGCTCATCTACATCATCACGAATCGCGTAGGCTGCAGTTGCCAGGGCGACGAATCGTAGCGGCACTGTCAGCCTGGCAAGGAGTCCTTCGATTGTCGGATCTCTGGATCTACATAGATAGCGGCGGATAGCTGCCTTGTCATTAGTTCCGCCTGCCAAAGCAAGCCGCAGCGACAAGAACCGTGAAAAAGACCGGAACCTTGGCCGCAGCAAGCCACTGGCTTTGCCCTGGATTCATGCACTTGGGCACTGTGATGCATTTACAGCTCGTGCCGCCAAGGTACCGCCGGGGCACCGGGTAGGCTCTGGTTTAAAGGAACCGAGAAGCTGCAGATTAATCCAGTCAAGTTGAGTCACACATACACGGCTTCTGACAACTTGCTTTGAAAGCGATGCAAAAACAAGTTGCAGGGGCGCACCCGGCAGCTTGAGCAGCCTGGACGGCTGCAGTGTTGCCCAGAGAAAGATTTTTTGTTCGGCCTCAGACACACAGACAGCCTTCCACATTCAGTGGTACCGAGGAAATCATCAAATGACTGAGAACCGATCTCAGAGCCTCTGCCTGAAAAATTCAAGCATCCCCCATGGGTAGAGCACTTAGGATCGCGCACCCTTCAATGAAATTTGCTCTTGCTTGTCTCATTTTGCGAATGCAGTCTGGTCCAATGGGCCTTGTGAATTTGGGCCATCAGGACAGCTGAGCTGTTGACGCCCAGAAGGGGCCTGCAAGCGTGTCTGTCAAGGACGGCTTCAGGCGTGCGCAGCTCGAAATGCGCTGGCCCTCCAGCCATGATCTCCGCCGCAAGGTGGACCTTAGCACAAAATGCCCTGGCCATGCGTCAATCAAACGCTTCATTGGGGCAAGGACAGGCAGCCCACGCAAGCTGATCTCTGCTCGCTGGTCCACCCCTCGCACAGTAACAAGCCAGAATCGGGCATCGCTACTGCGATAGGCGTGGTTGAGCACTGTTATCTGAGAAGCGCTTGCTGCAGTCCGAATTCGGCATGCGCAGCCTTCATGGATTTGAAAGCATGAAACGCTCAGGGTCCCGCCGCTGGCCCTGCAAAACAAGGAGATCCTCAAGTTGAGCCACAGCCGCAACGGCCCTGTAAAACCCCGCAAGCGCAAGCGCTTCAAGGTGCCGGCTGGTCATTCTGACCCGGAGCTCCCTGGCCAGCAGCTCGGCCGCCGAAGTTCCCCAGCCTCGGGTAGCTCACATTCAATTATCCAACAGCCTACACACGAATCACGAATCTCATGCGCCAAAAGCGCGGGCGGCACACATCATGCTCGGTTGAATTGAGTACACGTCAGGGCCCGCGAGAATTAAAAGGCCCATTTGTCACTGAACATTGGTGTTGTCTGAGAACCACACGCCAGCACTGGAGATGGCTTGGCCGGTTCAGCCTCACAAACTAAGCATATTGCCACATAGTACATACAATGACCGGGCTTCTGCTAAGTACCCCTAAACTTCCGGCGGCTGGAACGAGTGCCCTCTCTTGCATCATCGCTTGGGCCTCGCGGAAACACGCAAACCCAAGGGAAGAGGACTGCAACATCCTTGGCGGCTGCATTTTGGGTCGGCAGCTTCTTGGAAGTCGCTTCCAAACTAGACTGTCTCGTAAAGACGGTGCTGCGAGCTAGTTTCGCTCGCAGGCAGCTCAATGGCCAGATCTGCCATCAAAACAATGTGACACCACGCAGGGCAGAGCCGTGGATGGGAGAAGGCCGACAAATCATCCTCGAATCTGCCCTTTCTAGACGCTACTGTTTTGTTTTGCATTAAATTAAGCTGCAATTAAGCTGTCAAGGCATCTGCCATCCCTGCAGGGTCTGAATTTCCTGCTCCGCTTGACCTTTGGTCACTTGGAATGGGAGAAGATTCAGACATTAAATCTTTGGCCTGCTTTTTCCTGCGACGGTGCGTATGAGCTCACGGGGCACAACAGCACGCAGCTTCGTAAGAATTGCTGGAGGTCACGGCCAGCGCGGCTGGAAAACGCGGACAGAGTGGCGTTTTGAAAAGAGGGCTGTTACTCTCCTAGTCTATCCCCACAGCCTGCCAGAACAAACACCAAGCAAAATGCCTTCCTGCCCACAAGCTCTCTGAGAGGTCGGCCTTCTCACAGCGCGTCCTGACAAAAACGTTGCATCGTTTGAAAGAGATGCCACCCTCACCAGACTGCGCAATTCCTTTGTTGTATACGCCTTTCTTTCCACATGAGATTCTTTGAGGCCCTAGTCTCCTCGAAGGTAGGAACTCTTTGAGCACGATCAACGTCACGGCTGGAGCTCCAAGGTCTGAAGACCACTTTCTGGCTCGGAACCGATGTGTAGATGAAGCCTGCCAGAACCTGCGCAGTCAGTCGCACGCCAAGTACAGCATCAGACGCGAAGCAATATGAGGCAAGGTCGGGCGCCTTGCGGACCCCATCGAGATCTCCCACCATTTTCTTAAGCTTGTGCCAGCGCTCCAACTTCGCAGCCCTTGCAGCCTCGCAGTCCTCGATGCACTTAACGAAGTAATTCCTGCAGGCACCGGCTGTACTCGACTTGGTTGTTTGCCCTTCCACACCACCCTTCAAGCACCCCAGGCCCTATTAAACACAAAGTCCCTAAGCAGGCGGGAGGATCTCCACATGGGTGCTATCTCAAAATTCTCTCATCCCAAAATAACCACTTCACGGAAGACCCCGACGCCTTTCGCAAACACCATCTCAGACTTTATCGGAAGCAGATTTGAAGCAGAACCAAGGCTTGAACTCTTAGAGTGGCCCTCTACACTCTACACAAGAAAGCATTGCTTACGATACTTCTTCCGCGAGATCTCAGATTCCTTTCGCGAATACCATCGCGAACTTTTGCGGAAGGCCTTGCCAGTCTGTGCTTTGCACAACATTTGTTGAGCGCGGCTTGCAGGTTCAGGCGTTTGTAGGTGAGATCTGCAGGTTGCGATAATCATCCAGGGGGGGTTGTCCGGCAAAAAACCTTGCGCATGTTTGTCTTTGCGACGGGTGGAGGAGCTGACACTTTGTGCGCGTGCCGGACTGCGTGTTCCCCTGCACGAATACCGCGTATGCACGAAGCATATGGCACTTGGCCAGCTGGTGCAGCGACACGCCACGGCAATGCCATCGGCGTGCAAGGTCGTTAGTGCACAGCCCAACTCGCTTGCGGCTTGCGGGCAATTTTGTTTGTCAAATTACATTCGCCGCTCGTTGGGTGGCCCCTCTCCTGGTCAAAAACGTCACATGACAATGCAGAATGCTCACGCAAAACAACGTCTGAAGCTGATGCAGCACTCTTGCTCCGACAGTCTTTTGATATCTCTTGATTCTGGACAACTTTGAAAAGTCACTCACAGGTTGGATCTCTCTCACATACTAGAACTGTGCGGGGGTGTCTCTGATGGAAACTGTTGCTATCTTACCTTCGATAGAGTTTGAGCCAGGCTCCTGTCGCGAATCGACAGCAAAGGCTGCGCTTGGACTAGGTGAACGCCGTAGACTTGACCACTGCTAAATCGTCGCGGCCACAAATGTGCATCGATGGGATCCTTAGGGCAAAGCACCTTTGGATGCGACTATGCCACACAGGTTTGTGCACTGCAACAAGTGCAGCAAAAGGTCCACAATTTTGGGGTCCAGCGGAGAAATGTGGTCATCGAAAAACATGCAGTGTTCTGCTGGATCAAGTCTTCCCAAGAAGAAAGGTTTGCCACCAGCTGATGTTGAGTTAGCAGCTGCCCAACCTTGCAGGCAGGTCTGCAGATGCATCATCAACAAATTCAGCTACCTCTGCTGCAAACTTAACGCACCATGCCAGGTGGCCCGGGTAAAAGTCGCGCAAAGCAACTGTGCAACATTTTGACGACAGCTGCATGTAATGCTTGAAGACCTGGTTCACACCTGGGCGCCGCCAAAAGACAATCAGAGCGCACTGTTTATCAGCACGATTCACCACGCCACCTTCGAAGATCTGAACGCCCTCCTTGTCCTGCCAGAATTGAAGACCCTGCTCCAGCTTGCTCGGCTGATCCACCGTCCCCATGGCCAATGCCTTGCGCTCCGGGAAATGAAGCAACTAGCTATCGGCAATTGCAGGCAAAGTTGTAGTCAACAGAAGAAACAGATGTCTTTGTCTATTACTGCTCCACCGCTCCATCTGCTTTGCTCACAGAATTACTCGGCATCAAAAACGGCAGCAAAGTGGCAATCAGATCGCCTTCCAAGGGATTTCGATAAAATGTTCCGCATCCGTCGGCTGAGTCAAACCTCATGCGGTAGTCCGGCTTTCCATCCTGCAGGATTTGCCACGCAATGCAGTGAACTTTCTTGCGGTAACAAAGCAGGAGCACCAAAGAGGCAACAACCTCAAGACTGTCTGACAAGCTGCCGAACCATCCAAGACGACAAGGTCTTCCTTCTGGAACAAAGGATGCCATCCCTCGCAGAGTGCTTCCAGCTCCTCGACACTAATTTGTCTGCACTGGGTGGATCGCTTGTCTGAATCAGTACTGTAGGATTTGCCCGGCCTTGCGCAGCTGCGGCAAGTCTTTGCCGAATGTGCGGAAGATCAAAGTGAAGCTCCTCCCCTTGCGTTTGAGTTCTCCTTACCGCATCTCAGCTTGTCTATTCCGACTTTACACTCGACATTGCGTCTATGTACATAAAATCATTGGAAAAAGGTCACATTAACACGGCTGGCAATCGAAGCAAATGCAGAAACGACGGCAGTAGTTGCACCGACTCTCCATCGAGGCCTGCGTCCTTTGATGCCTGTGTGCCTCGGACTTCTTCAGGCAGCAGCAACTGCGCTTGCATGCCAGCCAGGTCCTTCTGGAAGGCCTTTCAGGCATGATGTTGAAATGGATGCATGTCCCTGTCACTTTGCTTGGGGCAACCCCAACCTCTCCAGGCATACCAGGATTTGTGAAGGACCACAGCGCTTGACGGCGGTTAGCTTTCACCTTCTCATTTAAAGCCCGCAGTTCAGCTTTGTCCTTGACGGCATCCCGGTCCGGAAAAGGGTGTTGCAGCACCACAAACTCAGAGTAGGTATGAAGACCCATCTCCGGACGTGACGGCGACAGCTCTGACGCCTTCAGAGTCCACCGAATCGGCCGGTCCACTTCATCGTAGTCAATAGTCCCCCATGCAGAATTGGAGAGCACCATGGATATAAGCCCCTTTGAGTCTGCGCCAGTTGCAGAATCCAGCATTACTACTGTGTTGTTAACGTCGAAGTTCAAAACTAGATGAGGTTGTTGGCCAGAGTCTGGCTTTGTGTTTCGAGCAGCATGGAGGACCTCTAGGAAGGTATGGTAATCGATTCCTCCTTCACCGTCTGGGTCCAGGTCACGTATGATCTGCCCGGCTTCGGCATGAGTGACCTTAGATGCAAAGTTAGGGATCTGAGCAGCAGGAGACATTCGCAGTATGAGGACCCCTTATACGACCCAAATACATCGCAGTCCTTATTAGAGGCATCCCTGCAAAGGGCCCCTCTCCAAGCCAGGACTGAGCTCCATGCTTTCAAAGGGCCCTTCAATTCCAGAATTTCCTCATTCAAGCTGAGCCACGCTCAGGGATCCATCGAGCTTGGACTCAAACTCACTAAGCAGCATCAGGGCGTCCATCATTTCTTGTGCATCAATTTGTCCGCTACCATCTCTGTCAAGAAATGTGAACAAGGACCTTGCCGCATCTTCGCTATCATCATGCGGGATGTTCCAGCGAAGCAGCCACTTCTGGAAGTCGTTCCAACAGATTTCGCTGTCACCATTATGGTCAATCTCTTGAAAGATGTGAGCCTGACAATACAAGGTATCTGCCATTGAAATGCATCACCGACGCGGATCTGACCTGTAACTGATGCTATATGCTGTCAAAGGACGACCACGTCCTCAATCTGAGTATTCCGGCCCGGGAGGCTCATCTCGAAGCCTTCCAAAGCCTTGAGACAAGCAGTGCGCACTCACCCCTCTTGAAGAGGACACTTTAGCAACCGCCGCGCCTCCTTTAGCTGACTCTTGGTCAGCCCACCCTCTGTTGTACCACCAATGGTCTCGAAAACCCGCCGAAAGTAGCTGCAAAGGAAGGGCTCTTCTACCTCGGATATATCTGTCTCTAAGTTCTAGTCACTTGTCTCAATTGTCCTGCCAGAACTTGCTGGACAAGGTGCCTGCTTGGACCTAAGCTCAGCAATCGCTCAGAAGTGCTTGCAAGGCACTCTGCCTGCTCTCCCACATGCCAACGTGCTCCGCATCAGTGGAGGCGCACATGCTGCACTGCCAAGCCACAGCTTTCGTCTCCGAGGCACCACGATAGCATCCTCCACACCAAGCGACTCTGCGCTGGAGCACCGCCATGCAGATCATGCAGAGCTAAATCGCACATTGGAAGTGTGTATGCTTGCGCGTGCTTTGTGGGCTGTCACATCACGCCGTCCCAGTGAGACATTGTGTCTAAGCTTCACGGACGGAACTGACTTGAAGGCCACAGTGCAGCGGTGGCAACGGAGGAATTTTAGCAAGGAGGGGGACAACGACAAACTCAAACGCGCTGGAGGCGAGTGCGAGGGGATCGATGAGTTTACCTTCTACGGCGTTCGCGAAGTAGTTCTGTGTCTCGTTGGTGTTGCTGGGGCGGGAACGCATGGAAAAACTTGGGTGACTCACTGCTCCTGCCACTTCATTTATTCAGCAAGCCACAAGGGCAGCACGAAGGCGAGCCCATCACGCGCACTGCCCTTCTGCAAGGCTAATCATCGTGTTGGACATTCCATGCTTATGGACTGACGCCACATGTCAGGCCTGCTCCTGGAACATGAACTGGAAGAACTCGCGGTAGCAAACGCGATCGCTTCCGGTGTTAACTAGAGCCAGCATTGTGTCGGCTTCTTCCTGCCAGCAGGTGAAACCATGGCCCTATTGCTGCCATCCTATCCTATGAAGGAAAGCTAGCAACTTGGTCAGAAGCACAATTGAGCCAACATGCCGTTTCGTACCGACGCCCACCGTCCTGCGGCACACCCACCTGGACCAGAACTTGGCGAATAATGCTCTTGCCTCATAGCAGCTCTTCCATACGCAGGCTTTGCTTTGGTTTTTGCTTTGGCACAGCCAGCTGGCACCAACGCACTGTCACATAACACGAGGGCTGGTACCGCAGGCTCCTTCATGATTCTGCGACAGGTTGACAAAGCAAAGTGTCACTAACATCTTGCCGCAAGTGTTTGGCTCGAAGTCATGGACCAAGAACATGCCACTGGCGGCGCTCATTGCTTCGGCACCGAGACTGCTGCTCTCCAGTTGCTGTTTGCAGCTTGCGGATTGAGCAAATGACCCCAGATCCGGCTAGAATGGCCAAATCTAGCTTCAGTCGTCTGAGGAAAAATCGGAAAAGAGGACAATTCCAATGGTCACTATGCATGCAAAGAACGAATGCCAAGCAGTTGGCTACTAAGGGCACCGATGTTGAATTCAAGAGTCTACTTTCACGCCAATTTTCTGGAACAACATCAGCATTTTCCAAACGAGTCCCATAGAATAGCATTGCCCAACAGAGCAGTCTGCATGAGACTCCATGCACACAGCCATTCATCGTGAAGGTCGTCTGTAGACGATGGTATGCACAAATCAACAACAAAGAAGTCCTAGGATCTAAAAGGCGTTCCTCAAATTCATTCGCTGAGTGGATGCATCCGGGGAACCTACAATGGTCTCGTTCTCGGGCAAGACATCGGAGAAGATCCGCAGCACAAGTTGGTGCGCCTCTGATGGCGGCTGCTCTGGAATCGGCCGCATGGCAGCGTGCGCAGAGATGTGCTAGTTTGGATATGTCTTGCTGAACATCTAGGATACGATGAGCGACGAGTGCTCCTTTGCAAATGCCGCAGACCAATGTCAAACTTGCATAGCAAAACGACATTAGAATGCGCTGTTGGTTGACATGCTTCCAACAAATTTGGCTTGTGCCTGTGCCGCTGCGCAAGCTCGTTCATTCAAATAGCATCACGAACGGCATGAGTATCTGCAGTAGCACCACAAGCAGCCTTGCAGAATTCCTCAAACTCAGCCTTTTCTCTGGCCAGGTCCTGGGCAAATTGGTCAGTGAGCAAACTTGAAATCAGGTGATTGCTGGTCCCAGCAAATTGTAAACCTGTCTAGGCCCCGGCTTCCGCAGTTTTTGCTGGAGCAGGCGCAGGTTTTACCACGGGAGGCCTTACAAAGCATTTTGCTTGATGCCACCCAGCTGCCACACACATGCTGCCGAATGTAAGCGGCAATCCGCAATGCCAGCGTTCTGACTCTTGCCTTCGGATGTTGGCTGTTTACGATCCGTTCTGTTGCACCGGCCTGGTCTTTGCCTCCGCTGCGTCTCTGCTGCGCCTAGGTCAGGTTCAAACGAAAACTGAGGCGGCACTGTGCATCCATGTTCCTGTTCTGAGACAATCACGATGCCTGCTGGCCGCTGTTTCCTTGGGCGTGTGCTCCAAGAAGTGCTTTGCAACACATGAGTAGCAGTGCTAATGATACGGAACCTCGAGCACTCCACCTTTGCCACATTCTGGAATCATGAAACCATCACAGTCTTGATAGCTGATTTTGCATCTAAAGCGCTGCCTCCAGCTTTGGACTTCCTTAACTTGTGACATGAAATTGCAAGACCCACCAGCATCTGCGAGCTGCTTGCGCGGACTTGCTGCTACCAAATGGCTGCTTGCTTTTCCGACCCCTCGAGCGAGATCTCGACCTGCGCTTCTTCATCTCCTATGGCAATCTTCTATCTTGCGATGCGTAGGAGGCACCTGCTGTAGTCAGAGTCGGACGATGGATCGCGACCTTCAGCACTGCACTCTGGCATGAATTGGCAGGCAGCAGTCGCCACACATTGCTCACACAAATGAGTGCTCTTCAGCTGGCCTGGCCACTGTCAAACAAAGCCATGGTGCAGGTCCAGTGCATCATGCTTTCAGTCGCATCAAGTAGTGTGATTATCCACTACAACGAACTAATACATCTCGCGCCTTTGGTGCAAGTTGTACTGTACTGGCGCTGACTACATTTGTAGTTAGTGCGCCTTAAAGGAAGACCCATCAGTCTGGACTGGTGGCAAAACTGACTCCAACTGCTTCTAGCGGTAGTTGGAGATGTAAGCGCGCGATCACTGGCAAATGCTAGCATACTTGTCGCAAACTTCTGCACTTCGAACACGGCCGCACATCGAGCGCCACAAAGCGCAGAGATTCTCTTTGGCATTGACAAGATGCTGGTGCTCACCTTCGCTCTGAGCCAGACCCAAGGAAGCTGAGGGGGTGCCGAGGGCATCCACACGGCTTAGCTCAAATGTTGTGCTGGGAATCTCAACCTCCCTGTTGTTGGTCATTGTGCTTGCTGCTTGCCCAAAAGCCCAAGCGGCCTTGCCAGGAACTTCAGGCTCTGCAGGCAAAGGCTTCGAGTGAGAGGCAGGTCTTGCAGCCTCTGACCCTGAAACGATGGATTGGCTGGCTGCTGTGAACCCGAACCTTGGTGCAGGCCTCTTTTGGCGTGCGTCCGCCAGCTCAATAGACGGGTCCACAGGCTCCTCCAAGGCATCTGTGTTGGGCTCACCAGCACTGGCGGTGACAGGCTCCAAGGTTTCTGATGGCTCTGATGACTCAGCCTCTGCAGCTTCCAGAGCTGGTTGGCCCTCTGCGGAGGAATCTGGCTCAACTGGCTCAATGGGCTCCGTGGATTTTGCTGCAGATTTCCTGGGGGCTGCCTGTACAGGTTCATCTAGATCTGCTTCAGGCATCTCGGCAGTTTCTGTCTCTGCCGCTGTTGCAGCCGGTCCAGCCTCCTTTTCCGCTCTCAAAGTGCTCTCAGTGAATTCTGTCACTCCAACACTCTCCGGATCCTTATCGGTGCCAAAGCCACCCTCTCCTATGCGGGTGACGTCTCCACTCCAGGCGCCGCTGTCCACAGTGCTTTCAGTTTCACTGGCAACAACTGGCTCATCAGCAACATGGTGAGCCGTGCGAGACTTTGGGTTCACAGTCTCTTCAGCAGCAGCCATCTTGGAGATCCCAAGCTCTGTCTGGCCAACTGCGGAGCGATCGATTAGCTCGTGTGTGCCAGCTTCCATGCAAAAGCCCTTATATTGCACACAGGCATCAATGTTGATGGCATCACGGCACTCGCGCAACCAGGCGCTGCATGCTTCTTTGTTGGCAGCTTCCTGAAGACTCTCAGAAGAACGTGAGCCTCTGACTGCGTCCGCTGTTTTGACGAGAACTTTCTTCGATCGTTTGTTCGATGATTCCGACATGTCTTCATCACGTTGCTCTGGAAGGGGGACCTCGGCTGGCTCAGGGTCTTGTTGAAGCTCCTTTGCCTTCTTTGGGGCACTGGACTCATCCTGGGAAATGGTCTCGAAAGCATGCGGCTTTGGCTTGGTGGTCCTCAGATCACTGGTCTCTTCTTCTGAAGTGGTTTCGAACGCTCGCGGCTTTTGCTTCGTGGTCCTGAGGTCACTGGTCTCTTCTTCCGAAGTGGTTTCGAAGGCACTCGGCTTTGGAGACCTTGGGGCTCTGGACTCATCCTGGGAAATGGTCTCGAAAGCATGCGGCTTTGGCTTCGTGGTCCTCAGATCACTGGTCTCTT